AGAATTTAATCATGAAGGAAGTTCATGGAATAATTGACAATCATTATGCTCAATCCCAAAGCTTCTACTCAACTGGTTAGAGTCTCGTGCTGATAACGTGTTATGAACAATAAAAGAAGAGGAAGAATATTGCAGAGAAAAGTAGGGAGAGAATTCTTATTGATTTGGGATGAATTACAATGGAATAAAACCCTCTATTTATAGGGAGAGGGTGACTTAGCCACCAAGCAATGAACCCTAGAATCTCTCTAAATATAGACATTCACCATAAATACAATTCTATTTATAACACTTCCTTATATTTCAAAATCAAATAGTACCAAAACCAAATAGTATATAATATATTACATGTAGAGAGTTGCCCTTATATTTTTAAAATTAAATACGTAAACTCCCTATATAATGGAAATTCTACACTAGATATCTTGTGTGATTACTGTTATATAAGGACTTTTAAATATTTGAATTTCAAAATACGGAAAGTTTATATGTAATTACAAAGTACATCTAATATAACTTGAAGTGAAACAATCAAAAAAGAAAATTGAAATGGAAATGAGAAATTCGTGTGTATTAAATCTTATTATAAATTATGTAAGAAGAAAATAAAAACAGCATGCGTGTACAAGATGCAAAAATATTACCATTAGTAATTATTACTATATCTTATCAAATAATTTGTACTTATGATTAAAAAATTTGTACTTATTTCCTCTATAAGAATTTTAAGGTGCTTATTTAAAAAAAGTTTATTCTACTTTTAATTAGAAGTTCAATAAGAAAATTTTAAGTGGGTGAATAAAGAGGTTTTTATATTTATTCTCTTCTAGAAGTTTTTAAAAATTTAGTTAGAATTGCAATTTCTAATTTGTTTTCATTATCGATATTTCACTTCCATTTATTTTAATTTGCTTAGTCACATATACACTCCTTATACTAAAAGTATATACAATCTCCCCCCACCTCCCCACCCAAGATAATGAAAATATTATAAAAATTTATACTAAAAGTATATACCCGCGACTTAGACCAAGTCAAGTGCATCAAGGACGAGGATGGCAAAGTGTTGATAGACGAGGCACTTATTAGGAGAAGATGGCAGTCATACTTCCAGAAACTGTTGAATGAGGAGGGGGATAGACACATTGTGCTGGGAGAGTTAGAGCACTCCGAGAGTCGGCGGGATTTTGGGTATTGTAGGCGGATTACGGTAGAGGAGGTGGAAGGGGCGATGCGTAAGATGTGCAGGGGCAGAGCGACGGGGCCAGACGAAATTTCGGTGTAATTCTGGAAAAGCGCGGGGCGGGCAGGTTTGGAGTGGCTCATTGGGCTATTTAATGTTATTTTTAAGACAAAGAAGATGCCCGAAGAATGGAGGTGGAGTACGATGGTTCCGCTTTACAAGAACAAGGGTGATATCCAAAATTGCAACAATTATAGGGGTATCAAGTTGTTGAGTCACACTATGAAGGTTTGGGAGAGGGTGGTGGAGTCCAGGGTGAGGAGGTGCGTGTCTATTA